ACATTTTCACTGTTTATGATCATGCTTACTTCGTGTGGAAACTATGGTATTTCATAATTTTTTTGTAAAACTATTAAAAAATCTAGTGTAGAGTATTATGTTGAATGAATTATCTTCAATCGGTAATCGAATTATGGTATACAAATTTATGAGGAACACATTTCACTGAAACAAACTGTAATATGTTTCTCTTGAATGTTACACCCTTCAAAGAAGTTCACATAATTTTATAATATGAGTTGTCGATGAGACTGTGTGTGCATAAAATCATCGGGGAAATATCTTAGAAGACGTGAGAGAAGGATGAGATTATAACTTTATATAACTGGAGATAAGTTATGTGTTTTTGGAGTTGTGACAGTATATTCAGGGATATATAGAAGTGTAGATAAATGTATGAATAAAACTGTTCAGAGAGAGCATGGGTTTTAAAGTAAGTGACCGAAGAAGTATATTGGCAAAAGTAGCATATCAACATGGTTATTACAAACTAACAACTGCCTTCTCCCTAATACATAAGTTCTTTAATCAAATACTTATTTCAAATGACAGTAAAACTAAAAGGATAGGTTGTAAACTAAACGTTGAGCTATTATACTAATAGCTACCTTGGTGCATTTGAATTTACTTAGAAAGGTAGATTTATAGCCTTCGCTGGGCTCTTCCATTCTTTATGATTCGATATATGTAGGTAAACGTATCTGGGAAGAAGATACAAGAGTTCTTATCTGTTTATGATTTTTTTCATAAACTAATACATTTAATTCTAGTTAATCAAATTAACAAGTGAATAGATAATGTTCAGTTTATAATCATGCAAACATGCATGTTATTCACGTGTATAAAGGGAATTAACTGTATGTTATTTCAAATTGTTCAGAAATTAATGTAGATCCATCACATAATAATATGAATTGAAATTAAGTTAGTTCTGTAAACTGAACAAATGTAATTTCATGTAACTAGTAAACTACACTCTGTATTCACTTTCGTTTAGACACAAAACTTTATTTTATCATGAAATCAGTTAACTTAAAATTAACTACTGTAAGAAATGTTTGGTTTCAACTTTAATGGTACGATCCATGTCAAGGAACTACATGGAAATGAAGTGTAATTGAATTAAATTTCTTCTATTTATTAACGTATATGTAATTTCCTTATTTCTACTCGTAAACAAGTTCATTAAATTATGTGAATCGATTAACGGAATTACTGGTGAAAGTTAATCAAAATCGGTGTAGTTCACGAACTACACAACATTCATGAACTTCTCAGAATTATCCAGGGTTAAATTTATCATCCTGAATAATGACCGATATACATATTTTTAGTAGTTATTGATACATCTCTCTATTAACTCGTAAAATTTCTGATAATCAAGGTTACCACATCTGTGCCAAGTAATGCACTGATTGTCAACAGTAGAATAATAGTGTCATTATTATTCTTTCTAAATAATTAGCACAGTCTTTATATAAATCAGATTTAATAGGGTTGAATATTTTTCTTTAACTATGTTACATTACCTAAACATAGACCTTCATCCGACTATCATCACATTCTCTTCACATTTTGTGTTTTCATTTATTCTTTTGTTAATTATGGTTATATATATTTACAAATGTTTAACCTATAATTGGCTTTGTAAAGTTCATTTACACTTTTCTTTACAAAAAATAAAGCAGCTTTATTCCGTTGTGTGTAAAATTTTCTTTACAATATCATCTTCAAACATTTGAATTCTAAAACAAACCTCAAAGCAGATATTGAAAACAAAAATGCAGATTATCTATTTATTTTGTTTACAGTATTACATGAAGTGCTTTATGATGTTCAAAATTCAATAGAGTTACCGGTGAGACTGTAATTTATGGACTACCTTAGAGCGACATTGAAGTGACGTTGAGAGTGTCCACCTAATAAGTAGGACCGAATGAGAGTTGTAAACCAGTGTAAGGAATTAGAATTATGATTTACAGTTGATGGTTAGCGTTAGGAATTAGATTTAGGGTCTTCATCACAAACTGATATCAGCTAAAATGTCAAAGTGCTATTTATCCCAATGGATGAGTGAATTCCGCGCCAAATTCCAAGGTCTGTTATCTTGTACCTGATTGGTTCGTCAATAAATTATAGTCTCTACTAGCAACAAACTACTAAACTGGTATTGGCTGATAAGTAAATGATGAAGTGTTTTTAAAATATACAAATCACCAAATTCAGCAATAAATGTATGATCACTGATAGTTGACCCTGGGATTTACTAGAGTTCTGATGGGAATATTTGGTTTGCGGACCTAAACTCGTCGGAAGTAGACCAAGACCAAACCACTGACAATGGCCGAATTTCTGTCAATCAACAATTGACTGTTGAGAACTGTGATTCTGACCATGCTACTTAGCCAGTTAGTTATGTGCAAAGTAGAACCTGGCACTTGAGTATATTGATTAAAGTTGCTACACCAAACTATTACCGAGCAGTTCGAGGTAGTAGCATCATTGATAGTAAAGTAGATCAGACTTAAAGAATATGATTCGACGAAAAATAACAGATTTGTATTTTAAAAGATGTGGAGGAATTTTGAGAATCGAGATCTAAAAGATCTTAAACAGTAGATTGATCAGAGTTATTGTGACATACTGTAATCCCTGTCTTCTGAGGTCTCCAATCATTAGTTTCAATAATTATGTGGGTTCCGACCAGGTGATTTGCACCCACCTGGATGACTCTAACCAACAGTCAGTGACTTCATGAACTGATCTTGGTTTGGTCGTGCAAACGTTTTTTCAATCTGCTCGTACGCCAGCCAACAGAAGTATGGAGTTGGTTGAACGTGCATAAAATATGTTCTAGCTAGCTCAGTCGTTGAAGATTCATACTTTTATCGCACGATTTTCTATCCTTACCTACTATCTTACGTACCAACATACGAAATCAATGGTTCAAAGAATCCTATGACTAAATACTAGTAACTTACGAATGTTTTCTTTTGAAGCATTTTCCCCAGATACAAAGTTAGGTAGAGCGGATTCTGAGGTAGTATAATCTCCCCTCAGTTGACAGTCGGACATCTTGCTTACGTTGTGGGTGATGCAATTCCTAATAAAGAGCCTATGTTTTGTAAGAGGGTGAAGATTTGATCAGTGGATCCACACCTTGGTCTGAAGCCATCCTGATTTTCCAAGGTTTGCTGTTCACTACCCTTACTTAAGTGTTGGTTTGATTTTGAGGACGCTATTTTAGACAATACTGATCAAAGTAATTCCTCTGTGGCTATCACAAGAGGATTCATGTCCTTTATTTTTAAGTAATGCGATCAACCATCAATACGAATCAAGCGACACTACGCCTAGATTCTTCGCTGATGCCGATATGGTTTACTTGAGTCGGTGTTTAGATTAGCTTTGCTGGTCTTTATAATAGAAATTGTTTCTCTTTATGCTTAATGTCAATGCTTACCTGAAATAAGTGGTTGTCTGTGTACAGTTTGAGTAGACAGTCTTTACTGTGTGTCCCTAAGTTGGAATACCAAAGGACCCATCAAAGTGTCAATTTGTAAATAAAAATTGATTTCAAAATAATATCTCGGTTTCTAATTATAAGAGGAATTGTCATAATGTATGGACAGATATTTGTGCTGCTATTGTGAGCTACTGGCTTGTACATCTAACATACTAATTAATTGCACACATTAATTATAGCCATCTTATTCCAAACTATTTGGAACGTGATTACACTTTTACTAGTATTCAAAACATAGAGTAACTAATACTGAACTAAATCTCATAATTATGGTATTTCTATGTCGCTCGAATGTTTCTAAATCAATTACGCAATAATCGATAGTCTAGTGCGTGATGTGTTGTCTTTATTTGACCATAAACAATAATTGAAAACACAAAATAAATCCATAAAACATACCGCTAGTATTTTAACAGTTTATTCTAATAATAAACTGGCGAGTGCATATCTGATATAATTAACCATACAACTACTCATGTCAAAGGAGATATTACGAGATCATTTATTGTCAGTGTATTAATTACTGTTTATAATTGACTAAACAATATGGTTATAAATATAATTGCTAATGTTAGGATCGATTTGTCAATGATTTGTTTGTCAGTGTGTTTATACCAGGTTAACTGCTTTTGTGAAAGTACATATATAGGCCCGGAATAAAGAGTAAGATTTCTCGGTTGATACCAGGAATCGAATAATTCACTAGACGGTAAAAATACTCCCCTGTCATATCGTAAGTGCCATTGTGTACAACTAGAAGAATTCTTACTTGTGAAGATAAAAGTTATGCTTATCTTTGATAAGTTTTATTAACTGATCAACACTTCCTTTTAATATTCAGACCTCCCCATTCGACAACTATCGTCGTAAAATCATCTTGACTGGCCAATAATATAGATTACTAAAATCGAATGGACTGCGTTATACTTTGTGTAACTTATTAAACATTCTTACCGTGTAATTAAAGTATTTCTGTCAGATGTTACGTTTAAAGCGAAACCAGCCATGAATATGAACAAAGGTGCAAAACCTGTAACGTTTATGTTACTTTCATGTAACCGTGTATTAATGAAACCGTAAATATATGTGTACAGTAAAGTGTAATTTTATTCTTAAATTTGTGTTTATTTATTCATTCATAAAAGGTTATTCCTAATTTCAAGTGAAATAATTTTAGATGACCGTGGATAAATAGCGCAACGTAAATACATTTCTAATTTTGTTCATTGTAAACGCTAAAATAAATAAATCTTAAATTTTATTTACTAAATCCACTGTACATACTTGAAAGTGTTTTTATTTATTACAAATGATGTATTAGCATTCCCGTAGTTTTTGTGATTTGTCTATCTAATTATAAACTTACTATTGTAAGAGGATATTGTGAATATGTATACATGTATTGGATTATCTCTGGAACGAAGTATCTTGGAATGTTTAACATTGTCTATGTAATTATTCATTTGTTTTACAGGAAGATCCTCTTGAACCTGCACTTAAACTTATCCCAGGTTTTTTCGGTACAGTGGTGCTAGTCAATAGTTTTTCCATATTTTACGAAGGACCTTCAAGTACGTTAGCTGTAAATTGTCATGGATATTTTTATTAAAACTACAGTTGTTATGTTTGTTGTGATAGATAATTATGTAACTGTTGAAATTGTTTGATAAGTGATAAAAATAATTATTGGTGTATTTCATGGATGTTTTTGTAATGTGGATTGTTACAAAACTTCACTATTGAACTTATTTGATGGTAGTTTTCTGGTCATTTTAATTAGATCCAACGCAAAATTCATTTGACTGAAATAAGTTAACTAGTTTTTTTTCCAATGTTTTTACCCATTAAAATCAAGTTTCTGTATAGTGGTTCGGTTTAAAGTGTTTATATAAAACCCAACTATACAACCCGTATAGTAAGAATGCCCCCAAATGCCCTAATACGGCCGAGAGTGGGGAGAGTATAGTAAGAATAATAAACTAATCTAGAATCGCCCTGACAAATATGCTTATCAGTTATCTGATAGTTTATAGTGTTGGCTATAATGGAGGCAAAAATATTTCTAATGCTTTTTCGATATTTACACCAAAGTCAGCAAAGTATCTGTGTTGAATGGAGTATACCCATCAGTGTGCTTTAATTCTTGACAAAGTGTTTTCAACTCACATTCGTGAATAATTAACTATTAAAGTGAACATCAGCGTTATTCGTTTATTGAAAGTACTCGTTATTATGATTTGCAGAGATTCTATTGTTCATGACAGTCTTCGATTCAATTATGAATACATTATTAAATGGCTCTGAGACTTTAATGGGATAGTCAACATCTTATGCTGCTCTATAATTTACTACCTACGTTGTCTTCTTTTCTTCCCATTGAATCTGACAACTACTGCATTGAAATATCACGACTAAGTTGTAAGTGACTATATTCAGTGATATTGACCAGTGTTAACATCGAGGCATTAATCTGCTAAAGAAGACATGGACATAAGTCAGTTGATTCTGATATTCTTATTGTTTAACAAATAATTTAGAAACATTTTACTCCAGTGCATTAAATAACCTGTATAATTCCATATAGAGGTTTGATACAGAAATGTAGAGTATTACAGTTAGATTGTGTCATTTATGTTTATCTCTTCGTTTATGTGTTTAATCCTGCTTAATATGTGAATGAATTTGTATGTTGGTATTTGATAAATATTCCAGGTTATATTTCTATGTAAGCTTGAATAGTCGATAGTGTGAAGTTGTGATTGATACCATTTTAGAATGATAAGAGTGTTTATCCTATGTTGTTGATGACAATCATAGTTACACATACGGTATACGTGATGTCCATTAGAATATATACAATAAACATGGTATAATCATTTTATTATTTCAATCAACTTTATCATATATATCAACATCTTATGTTTTTCCATATTAATTATACATTTCCGTCTAGATTACCATAATAACTGCTTCTTTCATTTATGATAATTAAATTGTTATTGAACGTATGTTGATATTCAAAATAATTATGGATATAATTAATGAATTTATATTTTTGTGTATTTTTTCTAGTCTCCAATCTATATACATTTGTATGAACAGTCGATTATCAAGTAACCCTATCTCAAATACACATACACATGTTTGTGTTTTCCCTCTTTTGTAGTGCTAAAATTCGATAGAATACCTCTTTATGGAATATTTATAATTAGTTGTGGTCTAGGTATTATCACTGTTCTACTTGTGAAGTTTATTTGGGTACCTTTGGTTCGTCGACGTATTTTAAGTAAGTTGTTACCCTAGTAATCTGATGTATTCTATTGTGACTGTAAGATTTAGCTTGTTGTAAATGTATAGAGAGTAAACTGTGTTTAATTATGCAATTATATATGCCAGTCACTAAATGCGATTTATGTGCTTTGATTATGGTGAGATTGGGGATGCAAACCACTGAAGATTCAAGATTGATGCGAAATGTCCCTCTACTAACCTTTAAGTTTTCGACATCTGTTTCAACAAGATAACTTCAGGCTGAAGTTTTCTTCAGATGTTTTGTTTTATTGATAACCCCTTGAGTCTTTTGATACCGGTGTACAATAATCATTGATTTTTCTTGTTCAGTTACTTAACGAGCTATACATGACATTTTACTTATAACCTAGGTGATTTCACAATCGCTGACGTCATAAACGTATAAGCAGACGAATAAAGGGAAGCTGAATATCGTCTGACGTCACATATCTCAAATAAGTCATTGTTTGTTGTTTCGAACAGATAAAGAATGTATTAAGCGACAATTACTACACTTTATTCGTCAAGACGTGCCGTTGTGGTGGTCGATATTCGGTACTATCCCTAAGCTTCGTATATTGTTCGTCTTGATAACCGTTACTCGACAACGTCCTAACGATGTATAAATCAGAAGACGAATACGAAGGGTTGATCGTGTTTATTGCTGAACCACACACAGTTATCCAATATTACAGGTACGTCAAACAAGCATGAATAAGCAATGCCATAGAGCCGGATGAATGAGTAAGCATATACAGTACGGTGTAGCGTAATACAGAGCAGAGCAGAGCAGAGCAGAGAGCAAGCAGGGCAAGAGCAGTAGAGCAGTAAACAGGATTAAGATGTACATATATATATAAGCGGAAAAGCATGAATCATCGGATCAAATAAGCGATTAATAATAATGCTAGTGGAATGAATATATGCGTAGGCAGTAAGCAATGATCAAGCGTATATAATAAAAGTGAAATGGTATAGATGGGCTGTTATTGTATGGATGACTGTCCATTAAATAAGTTAACAAAAGGGCTTAACTGAATTAGATGCAAACAAACTAAATTGTATCTGAGTTGCTATAATAGCTCCCCCCCAGCAAACATGGATACAAAATAGTGTCTGTGTTTGCGAATAAAAAAAATGTTAAACTTAACAGGACAGTAAATATCAAAATTTATGAAATTAAGATGTATGATAGAATTATCGTGTGAATTACTGCAAGTACGTGAAAGTTTGATTTCGTATATATCCGTGAGGCCAGATAAAATAACAGATCAAAATAATGTGTTAGCGTTTTTAGAGGTTTATATACATTGACATTAGAATATGCAAAATTTTCTGAATATAATAATAGATAAATTAGAGTTTTCGATGTGCCCATACTAAACGAAGAGGAAAGAAATTATTAGTTCAAAATCGTAGCTATGTATCGTTGAGGCCATCTTACTCTTCGACCATATCTTGTCGTTACTGGTTTCTCTTCGTTTTTGTTCGTCGATGTCGTTGATGATTGAGACTCACGTTTCGGTGACTCGACGATTTTCGAATGATCTGTATATACTGGCTGATCGTCAGCTTCGATAAAAGCTGGTTTGACTCGGTCTATGCTAATTACATCCGTTTTTCCGGCCTTATCTATTGTAATAGTTTTATCATTTCTTCTAATAACTTTAAATGGACCATCGTAAGCTGGTTGTAAGGGACGCTGCACATTATCCCTTCTAATAAACACATGGGTACTGTCGCTCAGTTGTTTTGGTATGTACACACGTTGTTGATGTTGCCTCGGAAGTGTTACTCTTAGATTACTCATATGCTGCTTTAGACGTTGTACATAGCTGGCTAAATCAGTTGGAACACTTTTACTTGAGGTGAAAAATTCTCCTGGAAGACGTAAAGTGGTTCCATAAACCAACTCTGCTGGGCAGCATCCTATATCTTGTTTAATTGTTGATCTTAAACCTAACATGACTAATGGGAGCTTGCTGGCCCAATCATTATTGCTAATAACAGATGTAAGAGATGCTTTGAGTTGCCGATGTAATCTTTCTACCATACCATTCGCCATCGGATGGTAAGATGTTGTCCGAATACGCTTGATTCCTAGGAGTTCAGTGAGCTGTTGAAAGAGGTGGCTCTCGAATTGGGCTCCCCGATCGGTTGTAATGTGTGCAGGCACACCATAATGAGAGATCCAATGCTCTACTAAGGTTTTGGCTATAGTTTCGGCCGAAATGTCTTTTATGGGTACTGCTACAGGCCATCGCGTAAATCTATCAATGCAGGTAAAAATATAACTAAAGCCATTTGAAATCGGCAGCGGTCCTACAATGTCAATATGTATATGCTCAAATCTGCTATCAGGATGACGAAAAGGACCTATTGCGGAACTGGTGTGACGATGAACTTTAACTTTTTGGCATTTTATGCAAGCTTGCGTCCAATTACGAACATCCCGGTTCATACTTGGCCATACAAAACGTTCGCTGATTAATTTGATTGTGGCCTTTATCCCAGGATGTGATATGTTATGCATAGTGTCGAAAACCTTTCGTCTTAGAGGCTTCGGAATAAATGGTCTTGGTCGGCCCGTAGAAATATCGCACATAATACTCACGTTTTCGATTGAAGTTTCTTTTAGTACCAGAGAGGTTGTATTGTCAGACTTCAGTCTGTTTAACTCGATATCTATATTTTGTAATTCTGCTAATTCGCGATAATCGATTTCGGATTGGACGAGAGTATTTATCGTCGTTCTTGATAGTGCGTCAGCTACTTCGTTTTCTTGGCCTGTAATATATCGTATATCAGAAGTGAACTGGGAAATAAACTCCAATTGTCTGATCTCCCTCGGAGAGTAATTATCTTGCTTTGCGCTTAGTGCGTTCGTGAGTGGTTTGTGGTCTGTGTAAACTGCAAAATCTATGCCTTCTACCATATGTCGAAAATGTTTTATTGCCAAGTAAATTGCTAGTAATTCTCTTCCGAAAGTACTATATCTCGTTTGCGTAGGATTCAGTCTCTTTGAGAAGAATGAAAGCGGTTCCCATGTGCCATTCACTAACTGTTGTAAAACAGCTCCTACCGCCACATTCGATGCATCTGTCATGATAGCTAACGGTGCTTCGCTCTTTCTTCTAGCTAATGTCGTCTTTTTGTTGAGTGCCTTCTTGGCGTTCTCGAAGGCCTGTATTGCCTCTGCTGATAATTGGAATGTCCGGGAGTGTCCCCGTAACGCATCGGTCAGTGGTTGAAGTATTGCCGCACAATTCGGAATAAAACGTCTGTAATAATTTATTAGTCCCAGAAATCGTCGTAATTTCTTTCGTGTATCGGGCAACGGATAGTCTCTAATGGTATCGATTTCTGTAGAGATCGGTGTGATACCTTGAGAAGTTACCATGTGTCCAAGGAACTGTAAGGATCCTTTTCCAAACTCACACTTCTCAATGTTTATGGAAATACCATGATCTCTTAGTCGCGCGAATAATTGCCGTAGTTGCTGTATGTGGTCGTCCATAGTGGTGCTGGCTACTAGTAAATCGTCTATGTATGCGTATACTCCAGGTAAGCCTCTGATGACCTGGTCAATAAACCGTTGAAATGTTTGTGCTGCATTAGTCAGTCCGAAAGGCATGCGTAAGAATTCATATAGCCCAAAAGGGGTTGTTACTGCTGTTTTTGGTATGTCTTGTGGAGCGACCGGGATGTGATAATACGCTCTAACTAAGTCAATCTTCGAGAATACTGTAGCACCTTCTATACTGTAAGTAAAATCATGGATGTGTGGTATAGGGTATCTATCGGCCATTGTTTGCTTATTAAGTGCTCGATAGTCTCCACATGGTCTTAATTCTCCGTTCTTTTTCGGAGCCATGTGTAATGGGGATGCCCACGGGCTGTTCGAAGGCCTTATTATGCCCAGCCTCATTAACTTGTCGAATTCTTGCTTTGCTATTGCTAGCCTTTTTGGGTCTAATCTTCTTGGCCTTGCATTAACCGGTGGCCCGTTGGTTATAATATGGTGTTGTATAGTATGCTTGAGATCTGTTTTATTGTACGTTACTTTTAAAAGCTCTGGAAACTCGTTTAACAATAATTTGCGTGGGTCGTTGCGGCTCTTATCTACCACTAGGTTCATAGAAACAGATTCTGTAAGTATTCCCGTAATCGAAGTAGTATGGGTACCGTTTATGAGTCTGTGGCGCCGTGAGTCTACTAGTAAATTGAAATTGCATAAGAAATCGATGCCTATTATAGGTACCGATACGTCTGCTATGACAAAATCCCAGCGGTATGTCGCGCCTCGTCCGAAATTTAAGGATAACATTCGTTTGCCATATGTTTTAATATCTGATTTATTCGCCGCTTTTAGAACCAATGAATTGTTAAGGTTTCTTTTGTCGTCACATACTGGGGGTACTACGCTAATTTCAGCCCCCGTGTCCACCAAGAATTGAGTGCCTGTCATTCGGTCTTGTATATAAAATAGGCGGCTGTTTGAGGGCTTTGTGTTCGCTGCAGGCGTTGCCATGGACAACCGAGGGTACCGCTTACTTGCCGTGCTAAATCTACAAGGTTGTAAGCATTTTCTTGCTCTGTAACCATACATTTGATGATACCAACATATCAGCGGAGTTGCGCGTCTTCTGGAAGCTGATCGGCTTCTCTCGCGCGTGCCAACTCGTGATAATTTTCGTGGTCTCTCGCTCTGGGTCAACTCTGTGAGCTTGTGGCATAAAACATCTATCTCTTTCTGCAGAGTACTGATTCTATCGTCTACTGTCACGCTGTGTGATTGAGGGCTTGCTTGTTTTGCTCTTTCGTATATTCTATCAGCTATTTTCGCTATGTTGTCTATGTCAGCGTCAGTATCTCCAACAGCTAAGATTTGCTGAATACTGGACGGGAGTCGGCGAAGCCACAGTTGATAAAATAAGTTATTGTCTATTTTTCTATCACCTAGTAGACTTTTCATATGAGTTTTTAACTGTGATGGTGTTCTATCCCCCATTTGTACCTGATTGAGAAGCTGCTCAACAACTTGTTGGTCACTTAGTGCGACTGCTTTAATTACTGCCTGCTTTAGTACATCGTATGGCCTTTCAGTATCCGGTTTAGATAACGCCTCTCGTACGCTTTCTGCTACTTCGTCTGGGAGGAGAGTGCTTGTGAGGCCGAATTTATCTCTTTGTAAGTTAATACGACTAGCCAGAAAATAGTTTTCGAGTCTAATGAACCACAGCTGAGGGTCGGTAACTTTAAAAGAGGGGACTGGAAGGTTGAGAGTTCTCACGGACGAAGTTTGCTGTACACTTGACATAGTGTTTTCGGAAGACATGCTTACAAAAAAAATTTTTGAGTAGTACACAAATATGATATAGATGTCACAAAAAAAATAGACGGACAGAAACAATGATAATAATAAATGGTACAATTTATAAAATGGAACAGACTTACTAAATCGCACCAATATATCAATTGTTTGTGAATGATCGTTATTTAGTATGAATATAATCGTTAAGTTCAATGTTTGTGAGTTAGAATCTAATAAATCCACAATTATGATTATGATACAAATAATAATCCGATTTGAGACGAAGTGCTTTGAATTTTCGGGATTAGATTATATCGTCAAAAATTGTTTTGTGATATCTCGGCGAGGCCTCCAATTCTGTGGTGGTCGATATTCGGTACTATCCCTAAGCTTCGTATATTGTTCGTCTTGATAACCGTTACTCGACAACGTCCTAACGATGTATAAATCAGAAGACGAATACGAAGGGTTGATCGTGTTTATTGCTGAACCACACACAGTTATCCAATATTACAGGTACGTCAAACAAGCATGAATAAGCAATGCCATAGAGCCGGATGAATGAGTAAGCATATGCAGTACGGTGTAGCGTAATACAGAGCAGAGCAGAGCAGAGCAGAGAGCAAGCAGGGCAAGAGCAGTAGAGCAGTAAACAGGATTAAGATGTACATATATATATAAGCGGAAAAGCATGAATCATCGGATCAAATAAGCGATTAATAATAATGCTAGTGGAATGAATATATGCGTAGGCAGTAAGCAATGATCAAGCGTATATAATAAAAGTGAAATGGTATAGATGGGCTGTTATTGTATGGATGACTGTCCATTAAATAAGTTAACAAAAGGGCTTAACTGAATTAGATGCAAACAAACTAAATTGTATCTGAGTTGCTATACCGTGCCCGTGACTTGACACTGATATCATAGTCTTTCTGTATACGAACCCGGCCACTCGAGAGTAAGTATAGGGAGTGTGAATGGAAGTTTATTTGGTGAAACCGACTCATATGTATGTGCACTCATATATATATATATATATATATATATATATATATATATATATATATATATCTGTCGGATAATAAATTAAGTCTATCAGTGGTTTGTGTATGATTCCTTAAAAACAAAAGTATTTCTTGGCCAGTCACTTATCACTTGAGAATTTCTGATTAGCCCATTGTGACAGTATTTTCCAAATAACTATTTTTTTAAAACCGATTATTTACAGAATATCTCTAATACTACTGACTTAATAAGTTAAGCACTACATTCGATTACAAAAACAGTGATTTTATATTTCGTGATGAAGGGTTTAAGGGTCCTAGTAAGAAAACTAGAGAATCTCTCGTAGGTTTTATGTATCTTGGTTGATCGTTGATAAATCTGATCACCTAAAATAGTTTAGTGGTATAACAGTCCATTCTTTTGGATTAGATTATATCATTTTTACTATTGAATGAGGTTATCCAAATCACGTGATCACTGTGAATAAGATTTTACTGAATGATTGCTTTTCTGAAGAAGAGTAACAGAAACATAAAACTTTATACTACTCGTGAATAGTAGGTCGTATAATAGCTGAAAAATTAAGGTAACATTCAAAATAGCAAATAGTTAAATAGATGTAAATACGATGCAGAAGTATCCTTTCACAAATAGTCAAATAGGTTTCAAAGAAAAGAGGTAATTATTGCAGATTAAGATTAAATGAACTCAAGTATTACTCAGAAACAGTTTACTTTGAGATTAAAATCATAGGATTTTAGGTGGTAACAGATATTATTTTCAGTTTGCCTGCGTTCAGCTAACAATAATCTATATAAAGAATGACTTCTTATAGATGTATTATTTTATAATTCGATCTATACATGTGTATACGTTTAAGAGGTCTTTTCAAATCGATAATTAAGGTATTTCGGAAACGAGAAAAAATTAAACAGCTTTATGATTTCATGTGTCGTTTACAGTTTTATGACTTTAAATTCTATGCAAAAACTAACTCGATTCACTTTGTTTTAGCTCTAAAAAAATGAATTCGACTAATTCCAGATAATAAACCTGTTTCGATTTTTCTTTAATCTGTGATAAATGGAGTAAGATGTAGTTGTGCTTCATTGATTCTATAGATTCGCTTACAACTATTGACAAATTTTATGTAATTTTTACATTGACTAAAACATTCGGCTAATTCCATCTTCATACATTTTTATAGCTGGAGAATCGAGTAGACATATTTTGAAAGGTTATTTTACTCGTAAGAGCAAAAAGAAATTATCTGTCGCTGTAGACGATAAGTATCAATCTATTGAGGATAATAAATCTTCCAAACGTTCAAGCAGTAATCATGAAACAATTGACATGGATACGTATGTACCTCATACAGATGGAGAGGCTGTGGTTGGATTTCGAAACAATGTTGCTAGAGGCAATACAGATAATAAAGACAAACTTGGACGATTTACAAGCGAAAATAATGGTGTAATACAAGGATTAGAAAATCAGAATAAAGTTTCAAGTCGTAAGTTTTGTTTTGTGAAATGAAGCCTCACTTGCGTTATCCCCGAGGTTGCGTTAACACACGATTCCTAATTATTTTCATATTTGAAATATCATGGAGGTTAGATGCAGATGTCTAGTTATATATACTTTGTAAAGCACAATTTGATAAGTTAAAATGCTTACTATCGATAACGGTAATTTATCTTGTTTTTCCTTATGAATTTGGATAAAAGCAGACTGTTAATTAAGACAGAAATATATAAATATTGTATTTCATGGATTCTGTTGATTTACGATTGTGTTAAGATATAACATTAATAATATCACATAAACAAAGGACTGAAATGGAATGTTATCATTGATGGATACATGTTGGAAAGCCCAATTGAGTGTTAATATAGAAAAATACGACGAAAGAACCTTGCTCAGATGGAATTTGTAACAGTTGAAAGAAATCCTAAAAGTATTTACATAAATTTTAATAATTGGGGTTAGTGGAAATCATTCAACAATTTTAGAAGTATGTTTAGAAGTGGATAGGACAATAAGTAACTTCGTAAAGATCGCCCACATGATCATAATTATAATATCAGGGGAAACGAAAGTACTATTGAGTGGGTTTCATGGTGTTTGGTTTAATTTAAAGTGGCATTCGTCACAGATTGACCTCAGTCAGTATACCATTAGTAACCAGGATGCACTAGAGAGTTGTTTCATCGTAGTATGGGGCTTCAAGAACATACTCACTCACAGACTTACATATCTATATTGGAATGTTTACTAAATATTGTCATTACTTTTTATTAAGTGTATATTGAAAACTCTCAACTTCAAAATTTTACTGAAAACGTGAATTGTTTACGGATACTTAAAGTGGTTCGTTAATTAGGCCATATCTGATATATATAAAATGCAATCTACTTTTTCACATTTACAGTATGGAAGAAAATGAAGAATTATTCTGTAGAATAAATTTATGTAAAAAGCAATGACATTTTCATTGTAGGTGTAAACTACATTTCTCAAACGTGTAAATACTTAGATTTAAGAAATGGTGATTACTTAACCTAAATGAAATCAAGTTCTGTAAAGTTCAAACATTGAAGTAAAAGTGTTACAACGTTACTAAAAGAAAAGAAACCAAATATTCACACTGCATACTGCTTCCCTAACTGTTACGAAACCGGTTTAAAATTTCAACGTCAGTTGTTATTTAAGAAGAAAATAGTTACACATAGTTCTATTCATCGGTAAGAAACATCTGTTCGATGGTATAAAAACCGTATACTGAAACAGAAGTAATATTTCTACAACAATGTAGACCTAATTTGAATGGTTGCTCTTGAGCACAACACATTATGAATACGTCAATTTTATTGTATATATCTTCGTCAAAATCCTTTTCTCACACTATTTCTTGTGAATGATACCGGTTATTATTATTGTTATTATCATTTTTAAATTATCTATGTTACTGTGAATTTTCATGGATCGATAGAAGTTAGACATTAACACCGTTGGATACTGGCTCAGTAGTCTAGAGGTTAAGTGTTCGTTTGTGAGACCGAAGGTTCTGGGTTGGAGTTCTGTGTGCGGGATCATGGATGCGCATTGATATTGAGTCCCATTCTAGGAATAAATGGAGATCTAGTGCTTTCAGGTTTTCAATGAATGTGTAGCTTAGATCGACTCATGAACTCAACTATTAACATTTTCAAAGTATCAATAATAATCAGCATCCGAATTTTATTTTAATCAGTGGTTATTATTGAGTTTCACTCATTAGCAACATAACACATATTTCAAATCTAGACACTTCAAAAAACAAAATATTTGATTTCTTTTCATTTAAGAGTTTCTGTTTGAATCTTATCCGAAATCATATTAGTCAAAGATCATTTTTTGTATGTGTTCAGAAGCATTTTACCTAGCTCACAAAACCAACTGCGTAATAAGTTTGTTCAAGAGGGCGAGGACACAATGCAACACACTTGCCGCACGAAAAAATGAAGAAAAATACCTGAAGACCACCTTTCAAATGAACGATCACTCAATCAACATGAAAACATACCAGCCAAACGCATCATCAGAAACAAAGTCAAGTACAGAAACCAACAAACGGATCACCCTACCATATATAAAAGGCATATCAGAAACTACAGCAAGATTGTTGAATTCTTTATGAATAATTGTAGCAGACAAACCAACTAAATCACTACAATCAATCCTACGCAAACCAAAGGACGAAATGATAAAACAACGGAAACTGAACATCATGTACAAAATAAATTTGTCCAACTGCGAAAAACACTACAGAGGAAAAAGTGGACGTCCTCTTTATCTTTGCCTGTATGAACTTCAATTAGTGTTCAAACATCATGATATATTCTCTCTTATATCAATGCATGTGAACAACTGCGGACACATATTCGACTGGAAAAATGTGGAGATCTTGGATAGAGGCAATTCTAAAAACGTCAGAGAATTTTAAGAAGCTTGGCACTCAGGTCAATCAGCAATCGAAAAACAGTGAAATCGATCCAATTTATTAACCTATCAGAAAATTTATGGACAAATATATGACCAAGAATCAAATCAATGAGAGATACAACCAAAATAAAGAAGTAAACAATGACAGGTTTAAGGCCAACAATAACCAATCAAGACCTCAGTCTACAGAACAAGCTGTAAGGCATATGTGGAGAAATTTGAACACTTCACTTCTACCTGAAGTTTGTGCCGATGGTGTCGTTCAGAAGAACGATGAAAGCTTCACAACCAAACGATCCAGCTCAGAGCATGAAACTCCATCAAAATATTTTACATAAAAATTATTGAAATGAATTTCATTACAAACTGATGTAGAATGTTAAGTCATTGAAAATAAAAAAGTACTGGATGTCCATTTCTCCTTAGTCTATGACTTCGCGATATTAGATACCTATGAAAACGTGTAGAGGAGAAATGATTACCTTCACGTTTTAATGCAAACACATTAACTATAGTTTATTGAACTGAAATTTAATTGTTTAGATTTGATTGTCTTTTGTTTATTAGTTTTCTAATAGATTTCAGTTTATAATAAAAACCATTTCTTAATTGTATATGAACGTTACACACGATCATTTAAGTGGATATTTTTCCTGCATGCAGTAAAAATTAAAGGTTATTGAATTCATGATATTTCACGTTACCTTTGATTATGAAATTTCGTTGAACTAAAAGCATACTTCATGAGATCATGTAGAAATGGACACTATTTATTTGAATAATAATACATTAAAAAACTAAATAGTAACTTAAATGAGTACTCTTAGTGATTTAACTTGTTATTTACTTATAAGTAATAGGAATATAATGAATAAAATGTTTATTCTCTATAGAATGTTGTTAGGAATGATTACGTAGAAACGTTAAACTATGTATGATAGGTGGCTTTATTTCATTTAGAGTAAAGTGAAGTAACCTCACGTAAAATCTGTATCACCTATTTTATAGAAAACATATTTTAGTGAAATTAAATGTTGATAATTTTTATTTGGCCTGATTTATATACTAACACATTGTTTGCTGGCTTCTCAAGAAATCAAGGTAATTTCATAGTGTACATAAAATAACAGTAACAATTATGACAATGTCCAGAATGAAATCTTTATATCGTTATTATTATTATTATATAATTATTGACACTACACTGAACCTAGTAAACGTTAATGGATCTAAACAACCCGTTATTTATGCTATTTGTTTTGGTTATATGTTGCAATAATTAACATGAACTTACATGTTTTGACAAATCTAAATCTTCCCTAAATTCTTCATGTCGCATCATTTTCAGTTTAAGTTTATTCTTATTTGTATGAGGTTATTATATTCGCTCCCATCTTTTTACATTTTTTAAATTTGTTCCATAGATTTCGAAGTGAAACCAAGTAATCCAGATGAATCAGGTCATAAAAAAAATCAGTTAAATTGGGTTTTGGATTATTCATCAAATGATCAAAATGCCATCACGGATGGTAGTCATAATTTAAATAATGGTAAAATGAATGTATCATTTCCTCCTAACCTGTCTACAATTGGTGAAGTGAGTATCCTGATTAAGTATTTATCTCCCTTTGTCACTGTATATTTTGGTATATATATACCTTAGTTAAATCACTAGATAGTCTTGAATGGTTACTGTATATTAACAAATAAGTTATAACAGACGTGAAGACTAGCACAAATAAACATCCTACCAAGTTTATACATTAAATCAATAAAACTAAATGGTTTATCCTGTCAGTGGTTTCGATCATTGCACAGATCCCTACAAGGTTGTATTCTAGTGCCCGAAAATGACTCTATTATGATTGAATGATGCTGATCCTGGTGACGTGTATGTGTTACTTGACTTCATATATACTCTGTCGACTAACCGCTTCAATACCACATAGTCATAAAAATTCAAATCCGAGATTGGTTTTAGGACATTTCAGACAGGAGAGGATGAAAAAGTTTATTCAGTGACTAATGAATGAATAATACATGAATTACAGATAACCAATTAAAACAGAGACAACAAACACATAAAAATGTTTGGAGTTAACCGTAAATAATTAGCAAGTGTTCACATATAAAAACTACAAATGAATACACTATGATCAGTAACGTTAAATTTGAATATGCTCAGGTCAGTTCAAGGTCACCTAACAGTTTATAGAAGTCGAACATATTAGTCCATGATGCGGCTGCAATTTTAATTCTGTTTATGATTCAAGTTTACGTGGGTCACTACATCATACAGTGGAAGATACCTGATGCTACAAGGTAACTTGTGGTTATTAGACTTTTTTCACCATATATCTTCCTCGTTGTTTAAATACCACTTATTTCCTATTGCAAATAAATCTAAATTCACACGCTATAATTTTTAAACGATGTATTTTGTCTCAAATCTCACCACCTTTGTGATTATTAATTTGGATGTTACTTGTTTATTTATGTTTTAATATGATGGGAATTTTTCGGTATTTGGGATGAACGAAAGTGTAGAAATTTCTGACCTTAAGTAGTGGATGAATTATTTCGGTTGAATTTTTGAATCGTTTGTTTTCCAAGCTAACAATGAACAGAATGTGGATATTACCCTAGATACCTTGCATTTACAGAGCAATTGAAGAGTTGCCTTTTAAGGCAACTTAATGTTGTAGTAAATAAAACAATGCTCGAAAGAACTGGTCTGAACTATTCTACATATAAGTATTTTGCATGATATCGTTTGTTTCAACTGAATGATTAAACTATTTTCAGGCACGTGTATTTTGACGTTTAACACATGAAATACATTGTTAATATTTTTGCTACATATAATCTTCACTTCATTTTTACTCATTCTTCTGAATGTAGGAACCAGATCCTATGGACTCTGTTAAAGATCGTCCTGCTGAAGCTCAGGTTTTCTCCTCTTTACAAATTTTAACAGCTGTTTTCGGATCATTTGCTCATGGTGGTAATGATGTAAGGTATGGATATTTAATATATTTTGATCAATAAATAAACTGTGTATGTAAGAGAAATCTACTTATATTACTACTATTGAAGTATATTCAGTAATAAAAGCTTAAGATTAGTTATAATTGGTATAAAATCTGAGTTGAATCTCCATAACGGATTATCAGCATTCATAAACCGAATAGAGTTTCAAGAAATGGTGTAACACCTTGCAGTCTCTTCATTTTATACTTACACTTGGTACTTTTTTTATGAAATGAAATCAGTTGGTGCATTTTTAAAAGATCGTTTAGAACTTCTATCTATCATGAGACCAGTTTAGAAATCTTGATTTTTCACAAAGACAATATACTCTCCTCCATTTATTCACTGTTAACACTATTTATTTCTACTGTAAAGGATTATCAAAAACAGTACTGGAAAAGAGTAATTGAAGTGATTGAACATGTCCTGCTTGTTCATACTTACATCACTTGTAGCTATCTGTCATTACAAAGTTATGCGTTAGTAACTAATTTATTGAACCCATAAAAAATACTTCTGGACGTCACCAACACTTACTTTTAAAAATATTCATGATGGATTTTAAAGCTCTTAGAATAGCTTTCTGTTAGAAATTCTGTTTTCACAATAGTTCTCGTTAACTTTTTATTGAAATGGATACAATACAGTAAAGTGTCTCTTTAATAACTAAAAAAATATTCATGATTTGTAAACTACAGTCATGTTGCTAATTCGATTAGTTTAAATTTTTAGGAAAAGATAGTGGGAAATATCTGCGATGATGATCATTCTGATATCCATCATTATTATTATTACTATTATTATTAAACAGCGGTCGTTTGCAATTTTTGACATGGAAAGAGGATTATTATAACTTTATATCCTCCGTTTGACACTGGTTTATACTCTTAACAAAAAATCGAAGAGGTTATTTAGGTATCTGATAATAGTCTATGTTTTTGTTATTAAAAAAAAATAGTGTAATTTCAGCATTGTTGATGTTACATTCTTGATCTGTCTACCCGATAATATTTAGGAGAAAACGTGCCTCGATCTAGGTTGAGACGTTGACATGATAGGCTAAGTGGTTTTATCTTGAGGCTAGAAATGTATGAGTTCAAATGAAGACTAATAGCCTTGAGCGTCGAGACGAAAACCATTCTATCACCTGAGAAAACGAGTCAACTTGAATAGGAGAATTTCACCAAATGACAGGCTTCCAGTCGAGATAAACCTTATTTTCTCCACGAGTGTCTTCGTCGGCATGTTCTCCCAACGAGTGTAATATACAGACCTCCAATTAATTGCCGAATGGGATGGAGAATAGCTGAGTAAAGAGGGAGAAAAATGATACACCTAATGTTGATTGATGCACATTACAGAGTCCACAAATACCTACACGCCATGGGTGACCAAAAGAGGAAGCTGGAAAGGATACTCACCTCAGGTCAACAATAACCAATCAAGATCTTGGTCTAGAGGACAAGCTGTGAGTCATATATGAAGAAATTCGAACACTTCACTTTTACCTGAAGTTTGTGCTGATGGTGTCGTTCAGAAGGACGATGAAAGCTCCACGACCGAACCATCCAGCTCGGAGAACAAAACTCCACCAGGAATATTACTCTATGTATTTCCCATTCCAACTTCCTAATGTAGATTAGTGTAAAAAGTGCAAATCAGTGAATCATACATCAAACGAAAGGTTATGATTTCCAGAGTAAGCTAGGGACAAAACCAAATCTTAGTACTTGACAAACTTTGAACTACGTGAAATAATGTCCCCATAAATAGCATATTCAATGAAAACTATGTTTCGTAGCGTAGCACTGAAATGTGTAATACTTAAGGGTGTAAAGCTTTTTTAAATAAAATGAGATACTTGTACGTTCTATTCGAATCACGGGTCTTTTGTGGATATGCTGGTATATCAAAGTATGAATGCACTTTAGGCTAAACTAACATAATTTTTATGTACTGTCATCCATCAGGTTAATTTTTAAGCTGAAACTTGTAGTTTGAATAATTTAAGGATTCAGTGGTGAACATTCGAATCATAGAAGGTTTTCATCAGGAAAGATCGTAACTATTTTCAGACTTCTCATTCAAAACAATAATAATCGTAAACTTGTTTCACTGCTAACCCATTATAATACATGAAGTTCATCTTTAAACAATTCACTTAGTGTGTTAGTTTTTTATGAATTATTTTTTATACAGTAATGCTATCGGACCGTTGATCGGTTTATGGCTTATCGCCACCACACAATCAGTTGATTCATCGAAAACTACAGATATTTGGATTTTGGTTTATGGTGGTGTTGGTATATCGGTTGGTCTTTGGATATGGGGTAGACGAGTTATTCAAACACTGGGTGAAGATCTGACAAAAATATCACCCTCTAGGTAGGTTATTGATTTTTTTGCGCAAAATATGTTTATTGTAGATATTCATTGTGTTGAATACCATTTTTCTATCAATCTGAATAGTTTTGATTGTAATTTATATTTCATATTCATTCGAACGTTTTTATTTACTTGATCTATGAAATCATTTTTCACAACAAACACTTTATTTTTAACTGAGAAAAGTCATTCTCTGATGGGACAATAGTAAGTCTAGAAAAAGAATTCAAGGAAGAATATTGAATCACTTGAGTGGTGGGATGTAGTCGTTGTAAATCCTTACCAAACAAGCACTATTGTTCATTAATCGACATCTTAGCTAATTCTGACAGTGCGCATTAAATATGTTTTTTAGTGTCACGTTGTTTAAAGTGTACTTTGTGTTACTAAGTCCATTATGAAAGTCATCTGATGGGATGCAAATAAAGTGAAATTATAACGAGTGTTTAGTATCTTTTAGTTTTGTAGTATTCAATACTCAACAACTTATTATTTTTTTAAAATCAGTTACTTAGTTAATATTCAACGGTTAAGATGTGGAAACAGTTGTGTCCCACTTCGTCTGTTCTTTATTTTTGCTGAAGGAATTTATGGGGATTGTTAAGTGTCCATAGCTGACATCACAGGTTGATTTTGCTTTGGCAACCATTGAAACTTAGGAAGCGCCGGACCGTAGCTTCATCTCAATATGTAACTACTCGTTATTAAGCATCCTTGACCCCACCGAGGACCTACGTTAAGAACTTCATTTCTTGAGATGAACATTATCCTTTAGACCACTGAGCTTGCATCTGATGGTTTACCCCAATTTCAATCAGTTCGCGATATTATGCAACCACCTTCCATTACTGGTGATGGGTAACTGTGTCACAACTTACTGGTCACGACTTCTCATTGGGACTTATAGAATAACATCTGGAAGTTTGTCGCTATTGAACACAACTATTACTGGTACAGGGTTTGTAGAAATAGTTGAATTGGTTTCGTCTATATACGCACTATATGTAGATTGAACGTAAATGTAAGAAACTGCAAGTTCAACGAAACTCACCAATTCTTTACTATACATTTTCACTGGATAGTTTTTATATTATTAACATTATTGTTTTATTTTTTATTAGTGGTGTTTGTATTGAGATTGGTTCAGCCCTAACTGTATTAATTGCTAGTAAAATTGGTCTACCAATATCAACTACACATTGTAAAGTTGGTTCAGTTGTATTTGTTGGACGTGCACGTTCTAAAGACAATGTTAATTGGGGTGTATTTCGTAATATTCTAATTGCATGGTTAGTAACCTTACCTGCTGCTGGTGCTATCTCTGCTTTACTCATGTATATATTTACATTTGTTGTATGAATTTTGTTTATTATATTATTAATAAATATTTTATGATTCAAAAAATTTGTTTTTATAAGTAAAAAAAAACGAAGAAAAGAATAAAGTAAATCTCACAAATCAATAATGTAACTTCTTGTTTTTATCCTCATTCATTTTGAGCGAACTGATTGATTTTTTTTCTGCTCACTTCTTCATTTACTTACTAGATTTCTACTGTTTTTGTTCTTTTTTTCGTTCAACACATCCGCTTGTAAACATATATGCATATATACAGAATAGAAAACACAGTTACTTTTCTCCTTTCATATTATTACAATCATAACTGATCTCTTATTCATTTGATAAATGTTTTCTTACTAATACAAGTGGTGATGGTTTATTTAGTTAATGTTCTGTTTCAAGGTAAAATTCCCCTTAATCTCTCATCATTTTTATTACGTTCAACGTCTGTCGACATGGTACCCTGTTTACCAGTTAACACTGTACACAGTTTACTCACATGCATACACATAAAAGAGACAAGGAGTATTTAAAAAAAGAACAGATTTGTAGCAAGATTTTTAAAAATTGTAACATAAAACATTATCTAACTGTAATTTTGTTTTTAACAACTAATATTAGTCCAAAAAAATTATTTTTCTAGTTACTACCCTCTTGATAAGTTGTTTGTTCAATGAGAAATTACTATTAATTATTACTGATTTATGATGTAATCCAATTAATCAATTAATTAAGAGGAAGTTTTAAAATTTCTGTTCAGTTGTTTTCTTCTCAACTTTCTTTATTCATCATATAAACTATAGGATACATAAATTGAACTTATGATATTACTGTTTGTAAGAAATAAACCTCGGATATGTTTCGCTCAATGGTGAAATGACGTTAATACATATTAAGATGGTATTAGATACGTAGTTCACTTTGAACACCATTATTTACGGTAATGTTATGTTCTTTGAGCTGGATGGTTTAATTTTGGATTTTTCATTGTCGTCGTGGTCTACATCATGTAGAATATTCTGATGGAGATTTTCAAACAATAATAAATGCTTCGCAATTAAATCATTCTGTTATAGTACATAACACTACCAAATGGATTCTAATTAACATTCATCCTTTTCATATCTACTTCTATTTCCCGGCGTAATATGTTGTTCGGCCTTCCTCTCTTCCTTCCTTCCTTCCTTCCTTCCGCTTGTGCTTTTACTTTCTTTACTCGTGTTCGGCTGTTGTTAATTGCTAGTTTCTTGTTCTTCCTTTCTTGAATTTTGTCCAGGGTTCCCATAGAGATCCATTCCTTGTGATGATTCTTCTTAGAACCAAGAATCTCCTGACACTTTGAATTTAGTGCTTCTTTTATCCCTTTCCAGTTGTCCTCCAAAGTAGTTTCTCGTTCTTTCAGTAGATCCTGTAGAGCTTGGAACCTGTTGTTGAGAGTTATCTTGAATTCGTTGAGTTTGTCAGTATCTCTAAGGAAGGCTGTATTGAACCTTTGTAGTGCCGTTTGTCCAGTTGTCCAGTGTTTCTTTAGCTTCAGTCTCATCTTGGCCACAACCAGGTGGTGATCTGAAGCTATGTCAGCTCCTCTCCGGGTTCTCACATCTTACATTGACCTTCGGAATTTGTTGTTGATACAAATATGATTTATCTGGTTCTCTGTGGTTTGGTCCGGCGAGATCTAGGTAGCTTTATGTATGCGTTTGTGTGGGAATATTATGCCGCCTATAACAAATTTGTTGAATGCGCATAGATTTGCAAATCTCTCCCCATTTTCATTTCTCTCTCCTAGTTCATGTCGTCCAATTATATCTTCATATCCTGTGTTGTCCACTCCAACTTTAGCATTTAGATCTCCCATCAGGATGGTGAGGTCCTTTCGTGAGCACTTCGCTATAATTGATTGCAGCCTTTCATAGAACTGATCTTTATCGTCGTCGTTGGTATCATTAGTGAGTGCATAACATTGGATTACATTTATTGTGATCCCCTCTTTCTTTGTTCTGAATAATACTTTGATTATCCTGGATCCATGAGATTCCCATCATACAAGTGCATACCGTACTTCTCTGCACAGCAATAGAGCAACTCCCCGAGTTTTTGGAGCATTATCCTCTTCGTGATCAGAGTACAGCAGCATCTCTCACATATCTAGCCTTCGCTGTAGAGCTTGGGTCCAATGAGTTTCGCTGATTCCAAGTACTGCCACTTGTATCTCCTCATTTCCATTGCTATTTGACTGGTCTTCCCGACTTCGTGTCTTACGAAGAATTTCGGCTTTTATCATGAGGCGTCATAATTCTTCGGAAGGCAGAGTTTAAATGGTTTGAATTATTTTTTCTGGCTAGCGTTTTTTAGCAGGTGTTTTCTATGGGATGAGGTCGCTAACCCCATCTCCAACCCTCATCCTTTACCCGGGCTTGGGACTGACAGTAACTCTAGAAGAGCTACAGACGGAGTTCCTCAGTGAACAGTCAATTGTACATATATCTCTGTCCTACAAGAGGTCAGTAGTGACCCGGATAGACCAGTGGTAACGTCTCTGACTATGAAGCTGGGTGACACGGGATCGAATCTGTTAAGGAGAATCAGTTCCCTGACGAGTGCCAAGTAGCACGAAACCTAGATCCGGGGTTCCCTGTTGACTACCTCAAACCACCATCTTATATCACAGTATGCATAAAATGAGGATGACTGAACAAATAAATGTAAATTTGTGTTGTTGTGTTTAACAATAGGGTCGTTCATCGTATATTTCACAAATTAACTGATTAGAACAAATGAAAGTAATCGTTCTTGTCCACATAATGAAAGATGAATGAAAATTGCGATTTATCTAATAATTAGTAGTTGCCATGGGGCAACTAGTTGTATGTGTAGGGCTTTAGCTGTTAATCCTTTATTGTACGAAACAAAACCTTTAAAAGGATTTTTGTGCCACTGGAGTCACTTGTACGTCTATATTCTATTGAATACAATGCTATTATTGACTTGTTTACTAGTTTCTTAAAGTCTTCTGAGCTTTAGACAAAGTTTGTGTCTCTTCAACCGCACACTGAGCCATCGTTATATCTCACCCACATATACAGCATCAAAGTCTTTACATTTGATCTTATAGACTCGATTTTGCTGTTCCTTTCATATTGTATCCTATGGCCTTACTAGTTTAGCATTAAAAGTATTGTTCGTTCAACAACAAAAACACATATTATAGTGCTTTAGGATCCCTCCGATTCCCGACTGTTAACTATGTTAACCCATTCTCTTAGTCTTTCTTCTCGCTTATCTTTTTGACCCTGATCATTTCTTTTACAAAGTCCTTAGTATAGATATTCATGAAAGTAGACTCAACCAAATTCAAACCAGTTTCTTTATCATTTAGTTCTTAGACGAGTTTCTGAATTCTTATCGGATTGGTATTGACTCTCACCTTTGTAAAAGGGGTATGTGACAAATTACAATCTAGATATATTTCAGAATATGTTTGGTTTTGGAATATAACAGTGTTTAAACAATCATCACTTTCCATCACAATCAAACAGTCCAGAAATAGCAGTTTGTGATCAGTGGGTCCGATTTCTGTAGTATACTTGATGTTATCGGATATACTGCTGAAGTGTTTAGAAAATTCGTCTCACTCTCATTTATAATGGCAAATTGGTTATCTACATATCTCAGCGAGATTGTAGGTGAGTGAGGACACTTTTAGATTTCTCTCGTTTCCAGTCAATAAATAAACAAGTTAGCCACATTCGAGGCTACTGGTGATCTCACAACCAACAGCCAATCTTATTAACTGAATCCGCGTCTTAGTTTGACCGCATCGTGCTAGTAAGATTACTTAGTAAATCGTATCCAGCAAAGGAGGGCAAATAAGTGTCACCAATTTTTAAGAACACATGAATTTGGGTTATCAACAGTGAATCCGATAGGGAAAAGATTAAGTATGCTATTTATTACCCCAAATAATTTGGTTGTATCTATCGTATGACCACTGCCAATCAGGTGGGCCAAGATAGAGCTACGTATTGTCTTTGTCTGGGCCTTTCAAAACCACTAAGAGAAGTTCATTTGTACTGGTTATTTCAATCTCCCTCGGATGTTTAGTACTGTAATTGATCAGTACCTTACGTCACATGTATATCCCTGAGTGAACATCAACTCTGGGATGCAGATGCATCCATTTGTAAAGTCCTAAACAGAGCTAAATGCACGTGTTCTATAGAATATGGATCATTCAATGAAACAGCTTTATCTAAGCTACAAATAAGGGTATAGTCGTCATAGTCTTTGCTTGCATCGTTATGTAGTGGTTTGGCTTTTAGAGAATTTGAGAAATGTTTCAAAATAAATGAGGATATTTCATACTATTACCGTAATGGATTGTTGACATTTCCCGGATAATTAAATCAAACATCCATTCAAACTGCTGTTTCACACCAATCCAATGTCAGTAGTCCTATATAGTTCTCATGAAGTTAATTGCTCAACTGTGTACTTATGTTCTAACTTAAATGAAGAAGATATAGTTATGGAAATAGATTGACTGGTCAGTGGTGTGATTAATTTGTAGGCTTATGACTGACAGACTACAATGATCCGCTCCCTGACTTGAATGAATACGGAAACACCTGACTAACTAGACTCACTGCTAAAACTCTAAATATTCTTTTGCATTTGTATCAGTATATTTACCATCATTGTCTGTTTTAACTCGAAAAACAATCTTCATTATCCGATTTGAATATTTATGAGATTCTGTTTATTACTAGGGAACTTATGTAGCGATACCAAATCAATGTATGGTATCGATCGACAGGTTAAAATATACGCAAATTATGGATGAAATCAATTAAGTAACCTTTCTTGACATAATTGCAAACCATTTTAATGAAGCGAAAACGTCATCACAGAGATATTTTAATTGTTTATAAAAGAATATACATGACATTTGTGAAAAGGTCTTAATTTTCAAGAAAAGAACATATAGTTAACAGCTGATTGACAAATAATAGGTGTTATTGATTTATTTGCTCAAGGTCACCAGAATCACGTGTTTAAAGACAGATACTAATTAGCATAACATAATATCAACATGAGAAGTATGTGCTTGAAATGTACTCAATCTCTAACCAGAATTTATTTAGCTATCTAATATTAAATTTCAGTATGTTGACTAAATATTTCAACTGGAAATCAATAACAAAGAAGTAAAAACTGTTTAGATTAGCTTTAGTGCATTCGTTTACTCTATAGCAATTATTAATTTACTTTTTTTCTACTCTTAAACACTCATACACACATCCAAGGCCACATGTAGTTGATTCAGTAAATTGTCAAAAAAACTTACTTCTAGCCTATAAGCACATCTGTGCAAATACATTGTACATCTGTTTACATATATGCATGCATAATTAATAACACTAGACCTATTAAAAAACATCGCATGATCAGGATATGCTTAAGAGTTTAGTTACCAGGATCCAGAATCATTTGTGCATTTGTACTCTAATAACAATGTTTACTGGAGGTTATTTGCGCGGATATAAATGATGTCGGAATTTTTAAACCTGGTAAGTCATAAATAGTTATTTCATCTGAATATAAATTCTAAGGTTTTACGTTTTTAACAAGTGTACTTTCTCTGAAGCTAACCGTTCACTTGTATAAAATCCCTACGGTAAAAGAAATCCTAATACTTTCAAGTGTAGGCAATAATCGTGTTAATAGTCACTTAAATATGTTTTATTAAGCTTGTTCGTAGTTTGATTGATTTATAATACAGTGTAAATGGTGAATAGGGGGTTTTAAAAACTTCACACCTTTCAAAATTCATTCCTGAAGTAGGTAGGATTCTCGGGTGAACTAATGAAAGAGAACTTCCTCCTCCATAGTTTTATAACTTGAGTTTACCTGATTCATTTATATTACTACCATTCACACATCTTTCCTCATTTTTATTATCAATGAATCCATATTAAACGATTTATTACACAATCTTTGAATAAAGATTTGGTCTATTCCTCTCACTCTATGTTATGTGTTTATCCTCATTAATC